CTAACTAACTAACTAACTAACTAACTAACTAACTAACTAACTAACTAACTAACTAACTAACTAACTAACTAACTAACTAACTAACTGACTGACTGACTAACTAACTAACTAATGTCGGGTGTTTGTCTGTCCTCAGGGTCCCCCTCTCCCAGTGATCCGGACTACGGTCTGCCCCCCCTGGCGGGCCACTCTCTGTCCTGGTCCGACGAGAAGCAGCTCCGGGACCACAACATCATCCGGACCGCTAAAGTGTGGACCCCGGAGGATCCGCGGAAACTGCACGGCCCGGTGGGCCTGACGGACATAGAGAACGAGCCTCCCTTCAGCCTGGTGGCCTGACCAGAACCGGGCCGACTGGGTCCGGTCCTGCTTGGGTCTCTCAGTGTGTTTCCAGTTTTATCATGTTGATAATTGTAATTTTTTTTCTATAATTCAGGCAATCATGTATTTATTTCTGACATGTGATAATTTATACAGAAGAAAAAGTCTATATTTTAATTTATGAGAGAAAAGTTTTTTATTTTTCTGTTGTGAAAATAAAAACACCTGCTGATAAAAACATGACTTGTTTTTATTCTCAGGAGTGAACCTTGTCATGTGAACACATGAAGCCGCAGCCTTAAACCAAAACACACGCAGAGAAACCAACCTGCAGCTAATATACAACCACAAGGTTCCCTATGCGTCCGATTTTAACCCGACGCGTAAAAATCGGACGCATAGGGAACCTTGAAAAAGCATCAATATGTTGACAACTTGGGAGTGAGAATGGGTTGTAATAACCGACAATTGGCGCAACGTAACTTTTTACACTTTACTCCAAACAATAAGAACCGGCTCTGGGCATAGGCGAACTCGGCGGTCGCCTAGAGCGCCATCTGCTGGAGGTGGCGCCAAACTGGAGAAGAAAAAAAAGGTAATTATTTGTAATCCCTGGTTGTAACTCTGCTCAGCGCCCCTTTTATTTAGCTTTGTCTTAAAAAACTATAATGAAGTATTACAGGAAAAATAAACTACTCTACTAAAAAGAAAAAAATAAGTAGGTCCTCTGGACGGGTTCTTCTTTAGTCAAACATTTCGTCTCTCCTCCAAGAGACTTCTTCAGTCTGATGAGTTTCAGTTGAAACTCAGCCTTATAAGCTCTGAGGCTGAGTTTCAACTGAAACTGCTCCGACACTCTGACGGGGGAGGGGCTAGTAGTGCCTCTCAGGTGGCGGTTCGTGTTGACGAACTCAATAACAACAAGTCTGTATTTTCTTGTCCCATACATGTCAACCTCTTCGGACGTTTACCTGTGTTAAAAGCCTAAAAAAATCTGTAAATTTTGCAAAAAAAAATCCATACAACTCGTACCTGGGGGGTCAAATAAATCTAAGTTTACCATAGTACCTTACACCGTCAAACTTGTTTTTAGGGGTTCAAATTGGGAGGGGGCATAGTTGTGTGTGTGTGTGT